ATTTCATTAGAGGTTCTGCAATTTACAGCCGTCCACAGCTGATTTTATGTCATCTTCAATCACTTGTGTGTGCAGTCTATGTGAGGAACCTAAGTGTTGACCACTCGCCCCATTCCATAACTGCAAGATGACTCGTCCCCATATCGATAACATTCATCATCACTCGCCCTTTTCCGTAAACTGCAAGAAGACTCGTCTCCATATCGATAACATTCATCATCACTCGCCCTTTTCCGTAAACTGCAAGAAGACTCGTCTCCATATCGATAACATTCATCATCACTCGCCCTTTTCCGTAAACTGCAAAGAAGACTCGTCTCCATATCGATAACATTCATCATCACTCGCCCTTTTCCGTAAACTGCAAAAAGACTCGTCTCCATATCGAAAACATTCATCATCACTCGCCCTTTTCCGTAAACTGCAAAACGACTCGTCTCAATATCGATAACATTCATCATCACTCGCCCTTTTCCGTAAACTGCAAAAAGATTCGTCCCTCTGTCTACAAATCAAACACAAATGCACGTAACGATTGCGGTACTTTGATGAAAGTAGTCCCGACAATGATATCTGTTGTTTTAAAATCATGTATCCTTATCTAATCTCTCCTTATCTTGACATTACTAAGTACATGGATTTGCATGTTGTAGTGCATGAATTCAAGTTGTTAATTGCGATAGAGCATGCACGTTGACCGATTTATATTTGAAACCAGTTTCAAAACAATATATATTCACTTTCAACTAATATGATTTTGTCACGAATGGAATTACCCCTGGTACTATCATGAATAGTGCCACGCAATTCGTGACCAACTCATGTTATACCGAGACTGGGTCCCGATCCAAAGAGCGTTCGTAGCGCTACGACATTCGTAGCGCTAAACCATAGAGTTACGACATGTCGTAACTTTACGAACACATAAGTCTCATCTAAACGATTAGCTCGTAATAAATGGGGCGTGGCTCATTTGAAAACGGAAGATATGATGACGAATGTTCGTTGTAAGATGACGTGGAGATTACACTCTCTATATATATACAGATGTGTTGATTTGTCTGTTTAACTAAGGTAACGACTTGTTATTTAGTTTCTGCACTTATTTAATGTGCATCTGTTCACAAACTCTTTACATGCTACACACGGAAAATATATAAAATGCTGTTTAGATTTTAAACATGTAGGATTTGATTATTCTATACCATGCTACCTATCTATACATGTACCCATTCCTGTAAACGAGTCTCTCGAAAGTTTGGTTTTATGACCAAAGCCTTTTTACTGCAGATGTGATATGAGGAGAGACTCTAATATTATGTCTGTGTGTCTGTTTGTTTGGTTGGTTCTGTGTCACATTGACCCGCCTTCGTAAGATGGTGCTTATAACATCAGTCATTCGGTTGTCTAGTCCAGATTCAACCATGTACATAACACCGTCATATAGCTGCGATATTGTCGAGTATGCCCGTCAATAACCAACTGTATTTAGCATTTTGCACATCTGTGGAGGCCCATTTGATTAACTGTCTGCAAATGTACCTAGTGTGCATACAAAACACCTTATGGCTGCACACATTACTGGAGCATATATCTCACATACAACTGAAGGCCATTTTGAATTTATATGCCATCTTTGCTTAAAGGTATCAGAATCTGCAAAGTTGTGTTTTGCGTTGCATTTTTAGCTTAAACTTTCAAATTACAGACAGATACGATCATTCGTTAAGACACTGTAAGAGACCATCTTTCATATGCTTCATTCCACTTCCATACTCCGTCTACACAGACCACTCAATCATGTATAGTTTGTGAGTTAACCGGACTGACAGTGTTAAACCCGTGTGCGGAAATACACCACAGATTAGATATACAAGCCAGATAAATATTGTGTAAGAGATAGGATTAAGTGAGAGATTAAGTCGGGTTTAACGCCGCTTTACACAATATTCAGGCCATATGTCACTGCGCCTCAGCCGAATATTAGGGCTAAGGTCGGAGTAATGCATAATCTGAGAAACATAATATCGCCTGACCCATGAATCGAACCCAGTGACGCCAGCCCTCGCCCCTCCCATCCAAACATTTACCCCAACCTAAAACCGTTAAATAACTCAAATATTCCAGCCGTTTTCAATAAACAGCTGCTGTCTTGACGTCGATGATATTTGGATGATTAATGATGATGATGATTAAATGTTTTGAAAAGAGACCGGTTCCTTCTTCCTCTTCAATCAAATCATCAACGAGTAGTCCCAAACGCACGTTTCCCCTGAGGTGATTGAGACATTATAGTGTTATGTGGCAGTGTTATTGACTAAGTAGAAGTGTTCCAGGTGTGTAATAGTAGGGGGCAGTTGTGTGCTATATTCACACTTTGGCTATATTTAGACACAAGTTCTAGAACGTACTACAAGGTACTACTACCCAATGGGCCTTTCCACTATATTCTGACGGAGGCTGTTGGAGTTCGGGGTGCCGTCGTACAAACCAACCTTAGCGTTTAGACTGTCGTAAGTCTATGTTAAGGTATGGGAGTTACGATCACCTTAGCGCTAACTAAGGTTGTTTTATACTACCCAATGGACCCTTCCTATATCCTGACGAAGGGAGTTGGAGAATCGTCTGTAGTCGTTTCTAGGGTATATAAGGGGAAGAGCTCTTGCGTTCTTACGCTGGATACTTGACCATTGGTGCAGTGAGGAGAATTTACTACTCTGTATAATCAGGGATTTGTTTATTATACTACTCTTTTTGGCACTGCCACTGTAATACCTTTGTAGTGATTTGTATTTATTTGTTAACATAATGAGTGTTAGATTACAATTGTAAATTATATCACATTGTTGTTTGTTGGTTGGTTTCACGGACTAGGTGCGGTGGTACGGTGGTGCGGTGGTGCGATGGTACGGTGGTGCTGTGGTACGGTGGTGCCGTGGTATAGCCTAATGGTTAAACCGTTCGCTCGTCACGCCGAAGATCGGGTTCGACTCCCTACATGGGTACAATGTGTGAAGCCCATTTCTGGAGTCCTCGCCATGATATTGCTGGAATATTGCTTAAAGCGGCATAAAACCACTCATCCACTCACTCATTTACGGACTGATTCCCGGTTAAACACTGCATTACTTTCAACATAGGAAACATCACGTAACAATAGATATATCTACCTGAGTAGTACTAAATTATACATTTCACCTACCCTAAATATGTGTAATAACTGAAAAGCATTCAATGAATGGCTGTCTGAACACTGATGTAATGATGAAATGTTTTGTATAAACGTTCCTTCTTCCTCTTCAATCAATCAAGCAACCTGTAGTCTTACACGCACGTTTTCCCCCAGGTGATTCGGGCTTTATAGATATATGTACCTGAGCTGTGCAAAACAAGTGAGTGTTTGATTCAGGCCACTCCTGAAGGTACTGTAGATGTCACGAGGCCTTTGTGTCGGGGTTTATGCGTCGGAATGATAACCGATGGCAAACCCATAACATTAAAGTACAGTAATATTCTCTCATAACAAACTGACTTTAAAGATCATTGACTCTTAAGTACGTAGGTTAAGTGACGCATGTTAGTGTTTGCGACAGCACTGTTCGTAACAATGATGGATAGCCGTCACTATGCACCAGATTATTGAGAATATAATTTCACAAATATCTTTATTTGTTTTGAACATGTCACAAATACTTGGCATTTTGTCGACTGATGATTAAATTATTGTATGTTTTTGTCTCCCGTATTGTTTGTTGCCCATAATACTGGTGACTATGTTTTGATTTATTGACCATTCAGTATATATTCAGTATTCAGCATTATTCCAGCTATATGACGGCGGTCTGTAAAATAATAGGCCTGGACCACACAATCCAGTGATCGACATCATGAACATCAATTCAAATAACTGGGATACGATGATATGTGTGAACCAAGTCAGCAAGCCTTACAACAAGCATGGGTAGCTGAAGATCGCTTTAACCCGGATTATCACGGATCTGCATATTTTAAAAGAAAAGGATGAGGTAGTATTTTGAAGACGTTTTGAATTTTTGTCTTCAGTCAATAAAGAAATCCTGACAGATGGAACAGCATTTTAAATTTGTATTCAACTATATTTACTCATCTTTTACATTATAATTTGTGTTTTACATGTGATTGGAAAAACTAGATGATTCACAGGTCACTTAAACGACAGGACGTTGGTTTTTACAACAAATCCTGGTTTGTGTGGTTCAGACTCGATACTCTACAGGCGGTCGTGATATAGTTGTTACTTTGCTACCTGGAACATGGAACGTTTTATCACATGTGTAGTAAACTGTGGTATCAGAGGTTGGATACATAGAAGGGCCTATATATTAAGAAACTCACTCTCTCCTCCTTAGCCAAGCATCCGATGGGAAGTGGCCAGTGATACAAACTGTTAGTGGACAACCTTTCCCTAGAACGGAGAGAGGGTAGTCGATGTATTCTTAGAAATCAAGTGATATTCTTGGAAACGGATGACTTAAAGGATACATCTTGATGAAGGCTGCACTGGAAACACGGCGGAATAGAGACAAGGAACTTCTGGTGAAAAGCACGACCTTTTGGGGAAGCAGGTCAACAATGTCATCTATGCAAATGAGATACATCTATGATTGTGAACCAGCGAGAGCTGAGTTAGTTTAAAACTGAGAGTTCGTATCTACACCTAGTACCCAGCACGTGTATGCAATGTTGTGGATCCTCAGACAGACCTATGCCGCGATTACAGGAAATGCCCTTAGAGCATCAACATCTGAGGCGAATAGAGGCTTGGCAACAGGGTTCAAAGGACTACCTCTGAGGCTGACCGTCGCGGGACTGATATAGGGCAGTAGCCAGAAAGAGCGTGCGTGTAGTGTGGGTACAATTGCACTAAATGCTGCAATTTGCGCCAAGGCCAAAACCTTATAGGAAAGTGCCTCGCATTCACATAAACATACATTAGGTCAACTTAGAACAAGTATACACGATTACAAACATCGATTTCAATTTATTTTGAAAATATATATACAGGAAAAATTAAACATATACACGGTACACGTTTTTGAACGCCCCGGTCCGCTCAAGATAGATAAACATATGACGACTTTGTGGAGTATTTATAACAGCCCGCCCAAACGGCAGTCCCTTATATGATAAACATTGGTGATGTAAATGAGTAATAAAGAAGACTAGTTAGTCTCAAACCATCCAGTTTCTTTAAACCCAAACCACACAGATTCAATACATATTTGGTCTTATTTCAAAGCGGGGCGGTGGGGTAGCCTAGTGGTTAAAGCGTTCGCTCGTCACACCGAAGACCCGGGTTCGATTCCCCACATGGGTACAATGTGTGAAGCCCATTTCTGGTGTCCCCCGCCGTGATATTGCTGGAATATTGCTAAAAGCGGCGAAAAACTAAATTCACTCACTCACTTATTTCAAAGTAATTTGTCAAACATAGTTTAAAAGTTTTCTGCATAGAAATATGGAATACATCAAAAATAACATTTGTGTGCATAACACGGAACTGAATAAATTACTTCACGCATGCAGTTGCTCTACGGGATTGACACACCAGAGGGAAGGGGACATACTTCAATTTGCACAATGTTTATGCGACACACAGCCAACATAACGTAAACACGATCTGACAGGGCTATAGAAGTCATGAGACACAAGCATCCGTGTAACATATACATAAATAGACCACACAAGGGCACCTACAGACATCCCGGGGTCAAGGGGAAGAAGTCACGTGGCCACATCCGGCAGACTAGGAACTTTGTTCTGTTGTTGTCTATAAATAATAACGAAGAAAACTTATCTTCAAGAGAAACGAGTTTCTTTTAATGATTTGATATTAACTTCCACTCCCCTTTCTCCGGGGTGGTTGGGTAGCCTAGTGGGTAAAGCGCTGCTCGTCAGGCAGAAGACCCGGGTTCAATTCCCCACATGGGTACAATGTGTAAGGCCCATTTCATGTGCCCCCACGCCGTGATACTGCTAGAATACTGCAAAAAGCGTTAAACTAAACTCACTCACTCCTCTTTCTCCCAATCCCATTTTACAATACGTTAAGTGCAGAACAGAGCCATTAAAACATGACACTTAGTGATGTTGTAATATATTTTCAGCTAGTGTTCGTGCCCCTTCTGTTATGTCCAAATGGCAAATTAGGATCAGGTAGTTTAAGAGAAGTTCCCATGTCTAATGTAAGTCACGACACGACATGTTGATGTCAAGACACATCTGTGTAACACATTCGAGCAAAGTACTATTTCTAGACAAGCCAGGATTTCAGTCAAGTGCATCGTTACTCTTTAGATGTACTTCTTATTGACCTGCTCGGACTTACAGCAAGATATGCCTTGGAAGGTGTTTGAATGTAGTATGTTGTGGGTGACTATAGTTGTTATAAATATACCTAGAAGGATGTACAGACAACACACAGTGCACGTTTCATGCATGATCTGGTGAAGAATGATGTCATTAGTGTCAGTGGAAGCCCATAATTCGCCTCCATTCTACAAATTCCGACCACATTTGGCTGTTCATGATCTGGCTAGTCTGTGAAGATGTGGTCTGCTCAATATCCAGCCTTATGTCTGGACTCAGTGTGAGATGCTTGGACTGACAACGTCGGAACAACAGGAATGACTTTCCCGTTAGAGACGTCCAGCCGTGCATGACGTGAAACGCCCTTTCCCCGTCGACCATGACGCTGTCAGAGTCGGAGTTACCGTCCTTTACATGCATGGACCGGAAGGTGGCAAAAGGGTACCGCGTAGTATCTTTCTTGAAAACGAGGCTAGACACTGTCAACGATGTTTCTGGGATGGCTGCTTTGAGATCTAACCTTGCTGAACCCCCATCAGCATAATATAAGGTCATGGTCAGATTGGCAGGGGCCAAATCCATTCTGACAATAGGGGAGGAAGGTCTGAGAGTGTCCGCGTCAGACTGTCCCACAATCACCGACGTACCAAATGGTATCCAGTCCAGTCCTGGAGGTGGCAGTTCTAAGAGTCGAATGTTTCCATCTTGATAAAGAACAAATATCTGGGCAAAGCCTTTTGACCAAGGAACTGGACGTGAAATACGGAAATAGTCCACTTTGTTGAAGACCTCCCCAGTGTCCAGACGGTGGACCTTCATTGTCTCTGGGGCTCGCCACCAGAAGTCAACGTCTATGCCCTCAATTATGAGATTATCCGACCTGAAAATTGAAAATGGCCGATCAGGCCTCATATATCGTCTCTCAAGTTGCACGTAATCAAATGTCAGAGAGCTTATTTCAGATGTCGCTATAGAAACAAGAAGAACATTCTCATCAAATTCCGTCCATGAAAAATCAGGAATGTGCCACTCTTTAGTTGTCTCTCCTGGCTTAAATACTTCATCAACCAGTCCCATGATCTTCTTCACGCGTCCTTGGTACAACACTCTCATTGTTACCTTAGATTTTACGGGTTGGATCTTGATGGTCACTTTAGACCCAATATCAGCATCAATATAGCCTTGTGACTGGCCTTTGAGTCGGAACACAAACTGCAGTACCTGGGAGGTGAAGGGTTTGTTTCTACCAAACAAAAAGTCCATCCTTACTTCAGGGAACGTGGCCCGGCTGAGGGGTTGTGGTATCACGAAATGTGAAATCTTCCAGTATACAGATGGAAGAGACACACATCCTGTTGTGTTTGGTTGACGGTCGTTGATGAACGTCTTGTAATCTGGCATCGTCGCCGTGAGTTTGTAGGACATGACGTTTTTCAGAAACACCGGTATCTTGACGTTATCTTCCTCTGCACATTTTGTGGGATAGCTGGTCTGTAGGAGGGTAGCGTTCTCCAGCACGTTCGCGTTCACTGGGGGGACGGTTGGTAGAACGTTTGAACACACAAGCGCGCAGGTTAATATGTCATGCGTTATGGTCTGATCGGAAAGCTCCAGTTCAACGTAATCAATCTCAATCCCATTGGCAGCCTTTGCGAGAAGGGATAACACATGCAAGCCCTCCCTGAAAATCCACGGTGTCCCAACCGGCCCTGATATATGGAACACATTCCACAGCTTACCCCAATCGGATCTGTTCCCCGTTAAGAATGACCCGGCGTCCACGTGATCGATAGTTAAGGAGACAAGGTCAGGGCCGCCGTCGTTGGAATATCTGACGTTACTGATTCGGAGGGACGTATCTTGTCTCAGACACAAGTAAAATGATAAATATTCTCCATTTCTTAGTAAAACTGTTTTTCCAGTTACCGCATTTGAACGGTGATGAATGGCGTGGTTGCCTCTAGCACCTGTGGCTCCCAGCGAGAGTTTCACTGCCAAGACTGCTGGGATCACGTGACAGAATATAATACTGACAAGTAAGGCAGGTTTCATGACGGTCGTTGGTACGAAACTGCCCACACTTCTTTAACTTTTCTTTCAACTTTTGACCTTCACCTTCGTTTCAGGTCGAGTATGGCTGGCGTTATCGTTCTCCATGAGAATTTGCTTGATTCCTAGTTCACCGTATACCTGAAAAGCAAATAATTAATTATTAAAGAACATTAAATCTCACGTTCCCCATATTGTCAGAATGTTATATAACATAGCCTGATAAAACATGGTCAGTTGTGAGCAAAAAATATATTTCGAGTTATTCCTGGATAGAAATTGATTAGAAATGTAAGAGACCAATCAAAACAACTTATGTTTTTCGTATTTGCATGCTATATGCTCTCCGGCATCAGTTAAAGACTGATGTCCTTAAACAAAACAAACATATTCGAATGAATAATATTTTCCAAAGCCAAGCAGGAAGACATACAACGATCACTTCAGAACCACTGACAGTTGTAAACACAACAAACCTTGTGACTTGAATATTCCGCTGACATCACATACACACTTTTACTCACTTAATGCATTTCTGTTCAACATGCAAGGAAATGAACCTTGATGGTAGACTGGAGACGCACCCTATGACCTTGTCGTCACCGTGGGTATTAAGTACCCTGGCACACCAGACGTTAAGACGTCCCAGGGATGAACTATTAACTAATAAAGTTGTCATACTATGTATGTGTACAGTGTCATGTTCATGACGAGAGTTGCACGTGTATATCAGTGTTGGAGATGAGTTTTAGTAAGATGAAGTAATTTCTACTTTGAAGGAAAGACACAGATAATAATGATAATAATTCTTTCTTTTTAAGATATTATAAATGATTTATGTCATGCTTTCAACATTATACATTTATTTCCTTGTCAAGAGGGAACTTTTTTGCGGCATTCGTGACACAAGCATTTATTATAATCCTACAATTTATGTTTTAGGTCCGTAAAAGGACTTTTCTCAAGGTCTGCGTCTGTTTATAAATTTGTTTGACATATACTTCATCACGCGTTGGTAGATCTGTTCATAAAATATAATTTTGACAAGAGTTAACCGAGTTTAAAGTTAGAGTAGTTTTCTGATATACCCTAGGTTTTACCACATAGACTCAACTCACAAATGAGAGTATACTTTATAATGACACTTAAAAAACATACATTTGGTACATAGAATGAAAGTAAAAGTAGAATGAACTTTGTTTATCACGAGCACGCTTATTACGACATGACGGATGTAACGAACTACTATTGTACCGACCACTTTTTGTACTTAAATTAGTGGTCCCTTTGAGTTCGTCACAACCGTAGTTATATATACACCGTAATCAAGCACTGGGTCACGTACTTGTGGTTATGTCGAGAGGCGAGTACTTCTATGTGAGGCGTATAACAATATACAAAGGAACATTTTCACACACTTTACCGCTGCCAGTGGACTAGAGCTCTTTGTTAACAATTGCGAATTTCTGCCGAATGAATTCCAAGGAAATAAACAGTCACGCAAATGCAACTTGCACTTAATGACCATATTCCTGCTTTCACAGAGTGCAATAAGTCTTAGATTGTGTCCAAATACGAAATACTTCAGAGTGGAAGTGGGGGTACGTTGGTAAAGCATTCACAATGACAATCCTTTTCAGTAAACACATATTCCAATTATGTTTCTAACAATCAAATGATAAATTTACAGTGAAAGAAGAAATAATATTGATATTTTTTACAACTGTTTTAATATTATCAATGTTAACTGTTAAGTCACATATCATTAACACGGCTTACCATATATTCTTTAGAAAGAAATACCTTTTCAACTTTGTTTATACATACATTTCCTGAATCTGTGCCAAGGTTTCAGGTAAAAACTAAACTTTTGCATGTTAAAATAATGCCGTATATACTTACAAGCCAGTCGCTTTAATCGTGTATATCCAACAATTTATGAGCAAATAATGGTTCTCTCTTAAGGGATATTAAACCAGTTTCTGATAGATAAGCTATTCATCAAGTAAAACAAGTAATTAACATGACGGAAGTTGTTTCAAAGAAGGATTGATCTGAAACCGGTTTGAACTGCAAGCATTTATGGCTTAAAACAAGTTCGTGCTTTTGCCACCTACCTGCGAGAGAATGTCGTCTGTTTCGCAGTCAGTGCCGTGGGGCGCTGAAGCATATCAACATACTTTCAGCTGCGCATATATTTGTCCAGTGTTGAAGCTATTTTTAGTCGTTGGTTTGTGAGCGAAGTAACTTGGAAGGGACTTTGTGCAGAGCAGACGACATTTCCCTGACCGCCATAACACAATGAAGATTTCTCGAGAGGGTAAATTGTCTCGAGAGTGGTCCTTGGTTTTGAAAGTGACACTTATTCAGCTGTTGGCAGAGGGACACCAGTTGACTGATATTTCCAGCTTTATTGCAGACTTCCGCTGCACTACAAGCACGTGACACCGTTGTTGAAGTCACGAGGGAAGATTCAAGCACGTAGCACGTGCGCATATGCTCAAGCTTTGTCACGACAACAATTAACGCAGAGCTGAACACAGCAGCGAGATCTGGTCCTCAAGCTCCACCGCTCCGGGAATTCTACAAGAAACAAGTGTTGGCCTGGAGTGATATATCATTTATATACCGCACTAGGGGAGCGCACCCTCGGGGAAGGACTAGTCAGAAACAAGCACGCACCTGGTGACAGTGTCAGAATATGACATCACAAATATTGATCATAGACAGTGATATGTTCTTAGTGCAAAGTTTCACCTGATGTGTGTTTCAAGAACTGTTATAAAAATAATGAGAACCTGTTTTATATGATAGTATGGGTGACGTAAAATTGGGGTTTGAAGGAGCGTTCAAGATTATTGGATAGGCGTAGGAACTTTGGGGGGGGAAAAAGCTGCCCCACCCCCAAAAAAAAAAATAAATAGGGGGGGCGCTGCCCCCCCCCCCGTAATTTCACAAGCTGGAAATTTTTTTAGGGACCATAATAGAGAATTAAACACAAATTCAAGCCTCTGGTAACGTTGAAAAAATAACATGATCACAAACAAAATTTCCGCTAATGATAGAATCCAAAATTTTAAATTCATGTCACTCAAAAGTGAAAGTAGAGGCAGTCAGGCTGTTATTCACAGCCAACATGGATTCGAATCAGCGGTAAGTTGACAACATACATTGACATTGTTACAGTGTAGTCTATACAGTAACATTTAGTTTAAAGTATATATTTTAAGTATAATAGGTGCTGTTTGATTTATTTATTGAAAATCTAAACAATAACAATTAGACACGATTTCAAACTCATATATTGGCAGTGAGAGAGCTGGTTTTATCTGAAAGCCGAATTCATGTATGAAATAAGAATGGCTGCATTATTATACCCCAGCTACGACGTAGTCGCTGGTATATAGCGCTCAGCCCGTCCGCCCGTGTGTCCGTGCGTCCGGGTGGTTTCTCTGAGCATAACTAAAAAACTATACCACTTAAAACTTCAAATTTGGCATGGAACTTACCCTTATGGTGCCATTGTGGGGTTTGGCTTTCAATTGCATGATGCCAAAATTGAAAGTTTTCCTAAAATATTATTTTGGTATTCAATAATGGTATTGAAGGCGATCAGACTATAAGCGGGGGTATGTGAGCTGTGCTCACTTCTGCCTTGTTATTGAATGTAATTATAAAATATTTATAGTATAAAACTATTGCTTTTCAGTACCCTATTGTTCTATTTGTCAGCACCCAAAATATGATTATCATAAAGAAAAAATGACAGTGACTCCAATTTATTATTTTTCAGATATTTAAGACCAAACATAAAGAGAATAAGTTATTATAAAGACCTTCTTGTGAAGTATTCTAAAGCTGCAGACAAGGGTTGGGACACTCTTTGTGGAGCAATTGCAAAGCAAGTGAACTCGTCTGTCCTTTTCATATACCTCCTCTCTCCATCCCACACCCCACACCCCGTTATCAATTTCGAAATCTTGCCCCCCCCCAACTTTTAAACTGTTCCTACGCCTATGTATTGTTCTTATTTGCATACGATATGCATGCATGCATGCGTGCGTGTGCGTCAGCGTGTCCTCCAGACTCGTGAAGGTGTTATAGCCCGCTGAGATACCATGATGTAGTTTAACATACACCTAACAGATACAAGGTATGCTGACTCCGGAACGACAGCTCCTTGTTCCATCCTCTTAAATATGAGTCAGGCAAGGTAACTACAAGTAGCTTCTTTTGACGTCTTGTTTTATGACGCAACCGAGGATCGAGCCACCGATCTTCGATCTCCAGACATACACTCTATCCACTAGATTAGCATGGATCAATTCAGCAACAGGGAATCTAAACTTGATTGTGGAAGGGTACTCCCATCTCTGGCTGGGCGTGCTGGTGTGATATTGTACCGACGTGCATCTTGTCGTTTGTTGGGGATATGGTCAAGGTTCCAACCCGGCGGTTATATATGACAATAGCGCTGCTAACTGCGACATTGTTCCAGTGAGTCATTCGGAGTATCTTGTGGCACTCTCCATTCTGATAGTTTAACTCTCTTGTGGTTTTCAAGGCAGATAATGTTGCAGCACTGTTTTATGATGTTGTCCGACCGACAATATTATTTGTTTAACTCGACACCAGTGAAAGCTCAGTGAAATACATGAGTAGTTGAACTAAACCTGCCGCAGCGTTAAGGTAAGGCCAACTCCTGCAGCCTGTTTCAATGATAAATGTTAAAGTGCAAATCTAATGGGCATATACAACATTGCAGAATTGGATAGACCGTAACGTCGTTATGGAAAATATCGTGATTAAAATAATCTAAAACGGCGCGTAAATATTGACATTTTGCACTTTAATCCAGCCTGTCCATTTCAAAGTCTAAAACAGGAATAAACAGTGAGTATGGTTTTACACCGCTTTTAGCAATATTCCAGCAATATCAAGGCGGGAGTCATCAGAAATGGGCTTCATACATAGTACCCATGTGGGGAATCGAACCCGGGTCTGCGGCGTGACGAGCAAACCCTTTAACCACTAGAATATATATATTCAGGGACTAAGCTTTAGTCTGTCTTCGTTTCCTCAATCGCCGTTTGTACCGTTATTTCCTTGGTATGGCTGTTTACTGGCCTAAACATTACTACTTTTTATTCCAACAAGTCGGTCGTACCTCCTTCCCTCATATTTTGCGGTGCCCTGAGCTCATATCGATCAAAACTGCCATGTGTCCAATACTGATAGTTTCCGATAGTCAAGCAAAGATGAATTGGCGATACCAAAGGGAAACGTACAGGAACTGCGGGTTTTAACCTGTGACCTACACCACACCAGTGACGAAGATAACCAGGATAATCCCTATCTTGGATACATGGGTCACAAGTGATAGCAAAACACAGATTGGTTAGTCGGTTTAGTTTATTTTTTAAAACACAATATCCTGTTGAACTCTGGAAATTGCATGACGAAGATGAATCCCATGTCACCGACTCTGGGACACCGTGTGGCTTGTCTATGCGTTACATGACATCATACACATGGCTGAGTGATTTATGTTCCCTGGACTGACTGCTGCCATACATTATGTCATAATCTGCTGCAGGTGCGTGTGTGTGTTGTGAGATGAGCGTGACTGTAGGTGTTACAAATACTCGGTTGATTAGGACTAATTGGCCCCAAAGATAAGTTCATCATTTTTATCTTTAGAGTGAGTGACTGAGTTTAATTTGTAGCCACTTTAAGCACTATTCCAGGAATATCGCAGGAAATGGGCTTCACACATTGTTCCCAATGTGGAATCTACTCTTGCATTGCAAATTAGGGGTTAGTTTTTGCAGTTTGAAAGATTTATCGATCATCCGAACTGAGACGTCACCGCTACAGTGATGTCCATTATGTACACAGATGCCTTCGCGAATATGAAAACATCAGACTCAAGTTCAGTCTGCACATACCATAGGACACCACCATCGCCTATATTTGACAAGGAAAACAGGATGAAATAGTGGGATGTGTATTGTTAAAGACAAACGCATCCGTTACCTCTAAAATCATATACAGCTACAAAACAAAATACGCTTGTTTTCAAAGAAATGTATTAAGGCAAGGCTTTCCTAATAAGAAATATCTTAGGCTTGGCTTACGAAATGAAGCAATAATTCATCCAAGAACACTATGGGATTAGTAGACACTACAGTACGTGACAAAAGGCAATATTTATCGCCTATCAAGTGTGATAAAACTGCAACCATGTTAGTGAACGAGCTCCACCATAAACAATGAGATGTACTCCCACATCATTAAGGCTTGGTGATGCCGGCGTTTATCGCTATGTTATTCCCCAAGTGGACAGTGCTGTGATAGATATTTCCTTGCAGAGCAGAGGTTGGGTGTCAAACTCGCATCGAAGCTGTGGTGAACCTAATCAACGAGCACTTGCTTGCGGTTTGGTTTAACGCTCCAGAACACTGCTTCCTTTAAGGTGCGTTGAAGTGAAATACTTTTTTCACGGAATGACTTTGCGTCCAGCCATCCCCACTGAAATGACGTTCATCAACAAGATCATCATCATCATTACCACCACCACCATCATCGTCATCATCATCGTCATCATTATCATCTTCATCATCATCATCATCAGCAGCAGCAGCACGGCGCAAAACTAAACTCACTCACTCATCATCATCATCATCGTCATCATCTCCGCAACACCACCGACAGTATAAGACCATGACGTCATCATCGGCGTCATCGTCATTATCATCACCATCATCATCAACACCAATACCACCACTGCGATCCTCGTAATCAGCGTAATGAACATTAGGATTATCTATCATCTTCGCACTAGCAACAACAGTTTATGGTCAAGTCAGCCTCAGGGAATATTTCAATGTGGGTTTAACACTGGGTGGGACGGATGTTTTATCCATGAGTATACAAAACAATAACCCCATCCCAAGGTATGTCATATATTCGTGTCCCAACCAAAATTCTCAGCATCGTTTATCATAATGAAAAAGACATGAATACATTAAACTACATGAGCTAGATCAGTGTTATGCTGTGCATCGCATATAGGTACATACAAATCCTTTGCTAGACTACGCTGGTAGCAAGTATCGAAAGTCGGAAGCAAAAACCAATACCAATATTTTATGTCTCTTATTCACAACCACCATGAACACAAACATCCACAGCCATGTAAAGCAGCCAAACAGACACATATGTCAGACTGTTCTCACTCAGCTTCAACCTTAACCTTTAAAGGGTTCAAGATCAAACCCAAGGGTAAAGTGTACTCCCATCGTCAGGCTAAACATCTCGGGGTCTAACGTAAATAATCAATAAAGGGTGTTTTTTTTAATAAACTGGACCAAATGAATCAAATTATATAACTGGGACAAATAAGATATTTCTAAATATTTATTTTCCAACGCTGTCGTGTAATTCTTTCATCAGTTTTTAAAGACGCAAGTACAGGAAAATCTGTGATTCGGAACAACCGCCAAAGTATTCGAACATGGGTAGGCGATGCAGCTCTGCCCATGGCAACTCTACCCATCGGATATATATATATATATATATATATATATATATACGTTTGTAACAGCATCGTAGAAGTAACATTCCGGTAATTAATATACCTTCATTTTG